TTTTAAAGGTTTATTTTGTTTATTTGAAAGGCAGGGTACATAGAGGCAGAGAGAGAGAGAGAGGTCTTCCATCCACTGGTTTACTCCCCAGATGGCCACAGTGCCCAGAGCTGCACCAATGCCAAGCCAGAAGCCAAGAGTTTCTTCTGGGTCTCCCACGTGAGTGCAGGGGTCCAAGTGTCTGGGCCATCTTCCACTGCTTTCCCAGGCCATAGCAGAGAGCTGGATCAGAAGTGGAGCAGCCAGGACTGGAACCAGTGCCCATATGCGATGCCGGCACTGTAGGCCGCGCTTATTCGCTATACCACAGCACCGTGCCAAGTTCTAACTATTGAATCACCAATTGTAACAGTCATATCACAAGGTAATTATAAGGAAAGCTGAGTGTCGAGTAAATGGGAGGGTATTCCCAGTATCTTTTTGCAATTTTTCTGAAAATGTAAAACTATTCTAAAAATTGTTTATTTAAAAAATAAAATAGTAAGAATTGTGGCAAGCCTTACCGAGAAACAGAGGAAAGATGCAGATCAAGTGAAGGAGGGTGGACACCAAGAGGCACCACAGGACTAAAACACATTTAGTGGGCCAGCGCCTGCAGTGCCAGCATCCCGTATGGACACCAGCTTCTCTCTCTCTCTCAGTAACTCTGACTTTCCAATAAATAAATGAATAAATCTTAAAAAAAAAAGTTTGAAATCCACGTGTGGTCTTCCTAACACACATCTCCCACACTTTCTGAAAACTTCTACAGTGTAATCTCTTGGGCTCAGACCCAAGTGTAAACACAAAACTTGTTTCCTATATACCTTGTACCATGGCCTGAAGGCAAGTTTTAAAACTTTGGTTCACTCCCCAAATGGCCACAATATCCTGGCTGGACCAGGCCGAGGCTGGGAGCCTGGAATTCCATCTGGGCTCCCATGCTGAGTGGCAGGGCCATCTTCTGCTGCCTTCCCAGATGAATTAGCAGGGAGCTGGATCAGAAGGGGAGCAGCCAGGACTTCAACCAGTGCTCTGCGATGCAGCTGAACCACTGCATCACGCTATTGGCCAAGGGAAGGCATTATATATGTGTCGTGGTTGGCTGGCATTGTGACTGCCATGTGTTAGATAGCACCAGGTGTGGAGTTTCCCACTTAGGATGTCATGCGCTCAATCAGTTCTGGATCTGGAACATTTCCGATTTCAGGTTAGGGCTGCTCAACCTGTATAGCATGTTTCAAGAGATGAGAGCAACAGTCAACAGAGGAGTACACCATCTAGTGAAACTCTCTTTTGAAAGGAAAAAGGGCCAATGTTGTGGCATAGCTGGAAAAGCTGCAACACCGGCATCCCATATGGCGCCAGATGGAGACCCAGCTGCTCCCCTTCTGATCCAGCTCCCTGCTAATGTGCCTGGGAAAGCAGTAGAAGATGGCCCAAGTCCTTGGACCCCTGCACCCACGTGGGAGACCTGGAAGCAGCCCGGGGCTCTTGGCTTCTGGCTGGCCCAGCCCCTGCCATTGTGGCTATTTGGGGAGTAAACTGGCAGGTGGAAGATTTCTCTCTCTCTCTCTCTCTCTCACTCTCTCTCTCCCCTTCTCTCTAATCTGGCTTTCAAATAAATAAGTCAATCTTTTGGAAAAAAAAAAAAAGGTGGGTGAAATGAAGGTAGTTTTCCTGGAGAAAAAGTAAGAGTTGATAGTCTAAGTAACATTCATGAGTAGAACTTTAAAATAGAGTACTATAGGAAGAAGGAAAAGAAGGGAGTTTTGGGGCGATTGGAAGATTAAACAGCTCTATCTAATTATACCATCTCAAAAGTCCATTAGATTCCAGTAAAAAAAAAAAAAAAGTTAAAAAGATAATTGTAATTAGCAAATAAGAAACATAACAGAAGGGGGCAGTGTTGTGGCACAACAGGTTAAGCTGCCTTCTGCAATGCTGCCATCCAGTGTGGGCGCAGGATAGTGTATTTGCCTAAGCATGACTAGCACAAAACACTCTGTCAGAACCACAAGGCTACTCTGACATTTTACAAAAAGTACCTTGGCAAACACTTCTGCCCAACAACTCTACTCAGCTGAGCACCAGTGTTATTCTTCCTATTGACCACTCGGGCTAGAATGGTTCCAAAACATCTTTTACATCTTCCTCCATTTTGCTTTTCAGTTTCCCCTTGCCTCAAGCTCTTTGCACATGCTCATCGTTTACTCTGGCATACAAATCTCCCATTGCAATGCTTCCGAAGTAAATACCTTGATTATTATACAGAGTTACAGAGAGGTAGAGACAGAGAGAGAGGTCTTCCATCTGCTGGTTCACTACTCAGATGGCCACAACAGCGCCATGACTCACTTGGCTAATCCTCTGCCTGCAGCACTGGCATCCCATATGGACACGGGTTCTAGTCCCGGTTGCTCCTCTTCCAGTCCAGCTCTCTGCTATGCCCCAGGAGTGCAGTGGAGGATGGCCCAAGTGCTTGGGCCCTGAACCCGCATTGGAGACCAGAGGAAGCACCTGGCTCCTGGCTTCGGACTGGTATAGCACCGGCCTTGGGGGCCATTTGGGGAGTGAACCAATAGAAGGAAGACCTCTCTCTCTCTCTCTCTCTCTCTCTCTCTCTCACTGTCTGTAACTCTACCTGTCAAATAAAAAAAAAAAAGATTCAGCAATTTTCATTTTCTTTCTTCATCTGCTATTGCATTTCTCTGCCACCAGAGCGAAGAGAAAACTCCTGCGCATTTTTCTCAGGAAATGATCACTTTCAATTGCATCAATTGATGACATTTCACCCTCCAACTGATTTTTTTTAAGATTTATTTATTTTACTTGAAATTCAGAGTTACACAGAGAGAGGAGAGGCAGAGAGAGACAGTGAGAGACAGAGGTCCTCCACCTGATGGTTCACTCCCCAGTTGGCTGCAACAGCCAGAGATGTGCCGATCCGAAGACAGGAGCTTTTTCTGGGTCTCCCACATGGGTACAGGGGCCCAAGGACTTGGACCACCTTCCTCTGCTTCCTCAGGCCACAGCAGAGAGCTAGATAAGAAGTGGAACAGCAAGGTCTCGAACCAGCGCCCATATGGGATGCCGGCGCTTCAGGCCAGGGCGTTAACCCACTGCACCACAGCACCAGCCCCCAAAAATCTCTTTCCAACACTTCAAGAGGCAGTTTTTCCTCTCTGGTCATTCTGGAACTGAATTTTCCTCATAATACTCATCTTGACTTTCAACTCTATCAAAACTCAGCTATCTCTCAGAGAGAGAGAATGAATGAATCTCCAAAGAATAATGATATCTGCTTGGGACTAAGAAGCATTGCAATGCAGTCATTGATGTGTGCCAGAGTCATTGATGAGCATATGCAAAGTGGTTGGGGCCAGGGGAAACTTTGAAAAGCAAACTGGAGGAGGATGTAGATGTGTTGGAACAATCTTTGGAACAGTCCTAGCCCCATTGGTTAATACGAAGGGTAACAGTGGAGTGGGGCTGAGCAGAGAATCGCTGGGCAGAAAGTTTGCAAAGGCCAATTCTGTGAACTGTTGCAGTGACCTTTGTGTGAGTTGTGGTGCCAGCAGAGTGTTTTGTGGTATTTGTGATTAGACAATCATGCCTAAGCACTCTTCCTCATAATGTCCCAAGTTGATTTGTTTATTGTCAGAATTGACACAAGTGTCTCTTATTTTCTTTTTATTTGAAAGAGACTTACAGAGAAGTAAAGGGAGGGAGGAAGGAAGGTAGAGAGAGAGAGAGGGAGAGAGAGAGAGAATGTCTTCCATCTGTGGTTCACTTGCTAAACGGTACGATGGCTAGAGCTGAGCTGATCTGAAGCCAGGAGCCAAGAGCTTCTTCTGGGTCTCCCATGTGGGTGCACAGACCCAAGGACTTGGGCCATCTTCTACTGCTTTCCCAGGCCATAACAGAGAGCTGGATCAGAAGTGGAGCAGCCAGGACTTGAACCAGCGCCCACATGGGATTCAGGCTCTACAGGTGGCAGCTTTACCCACTACACAGGACCCAAGTGCTTCTATTTTGAACCTTGACAAGTCCGATCCAAGTTTGGCCCTGAGAAACCAAAGACTGGTTTTGACATTCTTGCCACAATGCATTGAGATGTCTGAAGTTGTTGAATGGAAAAGACTGAGGGATGCATAGAGAACTGGTAAACTTCCGAGTGTATCTGTGGTGGTGTTTCTGGAGAGCATTGGTGTGAATGTCAGTGAACCCAGTGGAGAACTCTGGGATCTGGATCAGTGGTCCTTGTGCTCACTTGGGCAGCACATATACTAAAATAGGATCAGATAATGTGCTAATGCGCCTGGGAAAGCAGCAGAGGATGGCCCAAGTCCTTGGGCCCTGCATCCACATGGGAGACCTGGAAGAAGCTCCTGGCTCCTGGCTTCAGATCAGCTCAGCTCTGGCTGTTGCAGCCATCTGAGGAATGAAGTGATGGATGTCTGTCTCTTCCTCCCCTCCCTTCCCCCCACCATGTATGTAAATCTGCCTTTCAAATAAATAAACACATCTTAAAAAAAAAAAAAAAAGTATTCTTCCTACTTCCTGAATGAACGTTGCTAAGAGCAATGCCAAATTGTCCCATTTTAAAACTGAGCTCTGCTTCCCCAGACACCTTTGAATCACACAGACAAATCCTAAAATCGGCTCCTCTTTGCTCCCTCCAGTAAGGGGCATGTCCCTGTATTATTTACTTTCTCTTTATGCAGCCCACACTATAATCCCAGTTTTGTTTGGCTGCCTGTCTGGTGGCTTCCAGTACCTGTCTGATCTAGGGAGCCCCTTCTTGCTCCAGCACCTTCCATTTTCAACCTCTGGCCTGGTTCACGTTAAGCCAAGAGGGGCTCTCCAAAATCCTCAGGAATCAGAGAGAAGAAAATGTTTGCTTCCTGGACGTCTGAAAAGGCAGTGCTGAGCAAACACCTGGTTGCCTGTGAAAGGACTAAGCCAAGAGTACATCACTTGATAGGATTTTTGGAGAGGAGCTCTGGCCATTGGATACCCTCCCTAGGGCGGGTCAAGGGAGTGAGGTGTTTGTCTGTATAAAACAGGTCCTGGGTGCTTCTTCCCTTTGACAAGTTTCGCTTCAACCCATTGGCTGCTTCTACTCCGTTCTGAGTAGGTAGGAGCAATGCAGGGCCCGGGACAGAGCGCTCCCATCGTGACGCCGTGGTGGACGGTACCTGCGAACTTTGAGGACCCAGTGAACCTTCTCGTTGAAGATGAAGAAGTGGAGCAAATATTCGGTAGGTAGCCCTTGTCTGCACCTCCTTCCCAGCCCTCCCAGGGTTCCCAGCCTTCTTCATCCTCTGACTCCCGACTGTCCCAGCTTCCCACCTCCAAGGTCACCTCTCCATCCCCCAAGGGCTGGTGGTTCACATGTCCTGTCCCCCGCCTCTCCTGCTCACAGGCCAAGATGACAAGTACCTCCGGTGCATCGAGGAGCACAGTAACACCCTCATTCAACTGGACAGGTACTTTCTGGCCTGCAGCTACACTCGCATCATCATCACCGGACCTGTTAGGGCACAACGATGGCTGATGTACATGATGAGTTGCCTCAGGATCGACCATCCTGACCTTCAGGCCGAAGGTAGGTCTGCCTGCTGGAATTGTGGCTGACGGCTTCATAGTCAGGTCCTGACAGCGCTGGGTATTTTTCAAATCTGTGGGAGAATTGCCTGAGTCCCTGGGAAAGCAGGGGGCAGGAACCGTTGCCGATTCTGGGGCCAGCAGTCAGTCAGGGAGGAGAAGGCGGTGGGGAGGTGGGAATGAGACACCTGGGAAGGCCTGAGTTGGGGTGACATCCAGCCCTGCGATGTCCTCGGGTGGGTTCTGGCCTGCTCTGGGTTCCCAGTCACGGGCCCTGCCTCACCACCTCTGGGCACTCCCGTCACAGGCCTTCAGATGCTGCAGCATGTGCGCAGTGAACCGCTGACCAAGGAGGACATTCGTAAGATCGAGGCGGAGCACCAGACCTCTCCCGAAGGCCGTGAGCACGAGTGGGACCACTTCCCTTGAGGATCTTGTGGCTTCGCCTTTCCAGGTGCTCGTTGTTCCTGGGTCTATGGAATTTCAAGCTATCCAATATAAAGGACTGATCATCCTTGCAAAGCTGAGATGAGAGGGGACATCTCGGCCTTGCCCTTGGTGAAGATGTTTGTGTCTCTAGACCAGGGGGCCTGGTCTGCCGCTGTTATACCCTGAGTTAGCCAATAAAGCAGCCGTGTCACGCAGTGCCTTTGACGTGCTGTCCTTTTTCCTTTGGGTCTTGATCCAGCCCAGGAAGGGCTTCCCTTGGGCAGGCCGGATGCTGAGGTCTGGGTAGCTTGTGCTGACTCGGGAAACTCAGCGCAGGGAAGACAAGAGAAAGCAGACGACCTTTACCTACCAAGAGTGCCGCTGTCAGACTGGAAGCATGTTCAGGCTGCTCTGGGTAAAGAGGGAACCCCACGTGGAGCCCCAGTGTTCTCTGGTGTTTCCATACAAACAGTGGGAAGAAAGGGAAAGCAGCAAGAGGGGTCCATTTGGAGACAGCAGTGCTTGGTGAAGGAGCAGCCAGGCAACCTGGTAGACATCGGACAGATCAGACAGCCAGACCTGGTCCTTCACTCTCGGGCATCTGGGGGTGATGTGAATCTGCGGTGAGGGAAGGGGGGTGCCTTAGGCCGACTCAGGAAGGAAGTCAGGGCTGAAGGTGCTCCCTGGGCAGGACCAGCTGCAGTACCAGTGGAAGGCGTGGGCAAGACCAACGGGAAAAGCGGGAAACTTCACAGAAGAGGCAAGAGGCTAAAGATGGACTCTGTGGGAACAGGGACAGTCGCGGGACGAAAACAAGGAGCTTGGAGAAGTCAAAAGATGCTGAAGCCAGAGAGGCCAAAGACTCTTGCTGTAAAATGCGTATTTGGTGTTCATCTCATTTTCTCACTTAAAGAAGCTCCTGAAATCCGTGAAACAAAAATGATGATAACTGTCCTGTGTACTACGGGTGTTACCTGAGTCCCAGGCAACTTCAGATTGGGTACTGATCACGGGAAAGGATTAGAAGGTTGGGACTCTGGGCCATCCCCCAGCCTCTGGGAAGTAGAAGGCACTGGAGGATAAGAGGATCAAGCTGACTGATGATAATTAAACTTCTATTAACAAAGTGACTGGGTTGGGGAGACTCTGGATAGCTGAGCACATGGAGCTTCCTGCAGAGTGACTTGGTCCTTCCCACATGGCCTGGCCCAATGCAGCTCTTCGCCTGGGTCCTTCCTAATATTCTTTATGTAAACTGATGAATATAAGAGCAGTGGTTCCCTGACTTCTGTAAGCCGCTGTATTGAATGAATTGAATCCTACGAGGGGCCATGGGAACACTGATACATAGCTGATTTTTTTTTTTAAATTTTTCACAGGCAGAGTGGACAGAGAGAGAGAGACAGACAGACAGAAAGGTCTTCCTTTACAATTGGTTCACCCTCCAATGGCCCCTGCGGCCGGCGGGCTGTGCTGATCCGAAGGTGGGAGCCAGGTGCTTCTCCCAGTCTGCCATGGGGGTGCAGGGCCCAAGCACTTGGGCATCCTCCACTGCACTCCCAGGCCACAGCAGAGAGCTGGACTGGAAGAGGGGCAAACGGGACAGAATCCGGTGCCCCGACCGGGACTAGAACCTGGTGTGCCGGCGCCGCAAGGCAGAGGATTAGCCTAGTGAGCCATGGCGCCGGCCAATACATAGCTGATTAATCAGAAGTATTGCTGACAAGCTAATTGTCATATGAAGTAGAATCATCTAGGGGGACTTAGCCCCTTGTCTATGTTATCTGACAATATTTCCACATAGTGGAAGAGTTAAACTGAACCCAGGGGCTGGCACTGCGGTGTAGCAAGCAAAGTTGCCAGCTGCAATACTGGCATCCCATATGGGCACCAGTTCGAATCCCGGTTGCTCCATTTCCAATCCAGCTCTCTGCTATGGCCTGGGAAAGCAGTGGACATGGCCCAAGTCCTAAATCCTGGCTTTGGATCAGCATAGCTCCAGCAGTTGCAGCCATTTGGGGAGTGAACCAGCAGATGGAAGCCCTCTCACTCTGTCTCTCTCTCTCTCTCTGTCACTCATTCATCTATGACTTTAAAAAAATTATTTTTTATTTGTATGGCAGAGTGCCAGATAGTTTCCATCCCCTGGTCACTCCTCAAATGGCTGCAATGGCCAGGCCAAGGCCAGGCTGAACCCAGGGGCCTGGAACAACGGCTGGATCTCCTACGTGGGTGCAGGGGCTCAAGCACTTGAACCATCTTCTGTTTTTCCAGGCGCATTAGCAGGGAGCTAGATCGGAAGTGGAGTAGCATGGACTCCAACCAGTGCCTATGTGGGATGCCCACGTGGCAGGCAGCAGCTTACCAGGCCCCCATTCTATGACTACTGATTGCATTTCATAAGTAAAAAGCATTTTAGTACTTGTATATTAACTTTCTTGCCTAATAAACCAAAACTTAGAGAATTTGCTCAAATTAAAATAAATATTTTAATACATTTTATATAAAATATATATCAAATATATAATTTATATATAAATTAAAAGGCAAAGAGACAACAAAGACCAGTCTAAAGCCAGGAGTCTGGAACTCAATGTTGGGGTACAGGCACCTGAGCACTTGGCATCATCTGCTACTTCCCAGCATATACATGAGCAGGAAGCTGGATTGGAAGCAGCAGTGGGACTCGACCCAAGGCATTCCAAGTGGGATTTTAACTGCTGTGCCGCATGTCCACCCCTGCGAAGATTTGTTAATCATTATGTATATTGAATAACATTTGTAAAATCACAAGACTAGTATGGTAGATTCTCTTAAATGTTAAAGATTTTTTCGGGGCTGGTGTTTTGGCACAGTGGGTTAAGCCATAGCTTGCAAGGCCAGCATCTCCTAAGGACACTGGTTCATGTCCCAGCTGTTCCACTTCCTATCCAGGTCCCTACTAATGCACCTGGGAAAGCAGAAGTCCTTGGGACCCTGCACCCACATGGGAAACCTAGCTGGAGTTTTAGGTTCTGGACTTGGGCCTGGCCCAATCCTGGCCATTGTAGCCATTTAGGGAGTGAACCAGCAGATGGAACATCTTTCTATCCCTGTTTCTGTCTCTCCCTCTCTCTGAAACTCTGAATTTTAAATAAATAAATAAATAAATACTTTGTTGTTGTTGTTTGAAGAGGGCTGGTGTTGTGGTGCAGTGGGTTAAGCTGCCACCTGGGATGCGGGCATTCCATATAAACACTGGTTTTGGTTCCAGCTGCTCTGCTTCCAACCCAGCTCCCTGCTAATGTGCATGGGAACACAGCAGAAGTAGTCTAAGTGCTTGGGTCCCTGCCATCCTCTCTGGAGAACTGGATGGAGGTCCTGACTCTTGCCTTTAGACTGACCTAGCTAGCCCTGGCTGTTTGCAGCCACCTGGGGAGTGAACCAGTGGATACAAGATCTCTCTCCCTATCTGTCACTCTTTCTTGTGAATAAATAAAATAAATCTTAATAGACCAGGAGCTGAGAAATCAGTATGGGTAATAATTAGTAATATGATGTGAACTATGTAAAGGATCTGTTTGGAAATCTCCTTTGATATATTTCTGTCAGTATTCTGAATTTTTCCTTTACAGCTTAGAAGAAAACAATGAGTTTTAGACCTGGCAGGGAACAGTATCTCTTAATCGCTGATGTATTCCCCTCTGGTCTGGCTGCGGGGTGAGGCGGGAGTGGATATAGCTATCACTGGCTACTCAGAAGAGTAAGCAGTTTTGCTGAACCATGTGTATAAACCTAGTGGTTTTTTCCCTCCCCCTGTTTGAACAGGATTATCTATAGTGAGTTTTAAAAATTTGAAGTACTTTGGAAACCAGCTTAAAATTGAGGCAAAAAGATGTTCCATTTCTCTCTCAAAAAACTGGCTGATATCTGTCTAAATAAGGCCAGAGTTTGTGAACTCAAGAGGCTTCCATTGCCTTGGCAGCTCATGACAAGAGTCTTGGGTGATTACTGAAGTCATAAATAAGAGTGTCAATTGTTAACAACGGGAGTCACTGTACACCTACTCCCCATGTAGGATCTCTGTCCTTAATGCATTGTACTATGTGAATTAATGATAAAACTACTACTCAAACAGTACTCTATACTTTGTGTGTCTGTGTGGGTGCAGTCTGTTGAAATCTTTACTTAGTATATACCAAGTTGATCTTCTGTATCTAAAGATAATTGAAAATGAATCTTGATGAAGAATGGGATAGGAGAGGGAGTGGGAGATGGGATGGTTGCGGGTGGGAGGGAGGTTATGGGGGGACAAGCTGCTATAATTCAAAATTGTACTTTGGAAATTTATATTTATTAAATAAAAGTTTTTAAAAAAACTGGCTGATACCAAAATAGTTTTGTAGGAAGAATTCTGTTCGTAGGTATAGTAAGGTGACTATACTTCACAATACCTATGATATATATATATATATGTATATATATATATTTTTTTTACAGGCAGCGTGGACAGTGAAAGAGACAGAGAGAAAGGTCTTCCTTTGCCGTTGGTTCACCCTCCAATGGCCGCCGCTGCCAGCGCACTGCGGCTGGCGCACTGCACTGATCCGATGGCAGGAGCCAGGTACTTCTCCTGGTCTCCCATGGGGTGCAGGGCCCAAGCACTTGGGCCATCGTCCACTGCACTCCCGGGCCACCGCAGATAGATGGCCTGGAAGAGGGGCAACCAGGACAGAATCCGGCACCCCGACAGGGACTAGAACCTAGTGTGCCGGCGTCGCAAGGCGGAAGATTAGCCTATTGAGCCGCGGCACTGGCCCATCTATGATATTTTATGAAGAACTAAGAGGAGCTCAGAAACTCCGAAGACATGATAAGGAGATGGATATCCTAATTACCCGATTTGATCAGTGCATATTGTATGCAGATGTTGAAGTATCACACTATATCCCATAAATATGTGCATTGATTACATGCTGATTAAAATGAAAAATGAAACAACTAGCTGGGAATGGAACTAAGGTCAGACTGAGCTCCATCTGGTGGCTAACACTGAGAATAGTTCCTGGAATTAGGAGCTGGCCATAGTTGGAAATGCCACAATTACCTTTAAAATAATGGAAAATAAATCATGGCATGAAAGAGGCCACATCAGCAGGGTCAATGAAGTGCTTGACAGGGCTTGTAGGCCTCTTGCCCAGACTTGAAAAGAAAAATAAAAAGTCACGCTG